AATAAATATACAATTAAAACCTATAACAATTCACATTCACAAAAATAAAAGGGAAAAAGGGAAAAGTATTAGTGTTAGATACTCCTTTAAATGTTTGTCAGCTATCCTTAGCATTGAGTGACTGAAACGTATGCTAAGTAAATAATAGCTAAATCAAAAATAAGCAAATAAATACATGGATTTATTTAGTACATTCTGCCTTTCTCCCACCCAGAACAAAAATGTACAATTTCACCTCAATCACCCAATGACTCTAGGCAACATATGATATTTTAAAAACACTAAAACAGAGGACAGGAAAACAGTAAAGCCAATATCAAAAGCAATATGACTGCCATGCCCGAACCAGACCAGGCTGGTTTCTGCAAGACAGCTGTATCATGTACTACAATACTTCCAGACATCAATATTACTTCACGTGGCAATTAGTTTTATATCTAAGATAAATTAAGCTTATTTTTGAATGGTCAGAGCACTGAAATTGGAAAACTGGTTCTACATTATTAACTTCAGTAAGTTTTTACAAAAGTTCCATCTCAGCTAGCGTTTAGCTTATATCAGAATCAAAACTCCAATATGATAATTACTGAAGCTACTATTACAGGAACAACAATCATTCTTACCTCTGGCTTTTGTTTTCTCTTGTGATGTTGCACACAGCATCCCATCTTTTTCTTCATGCTGGTCATCCATATCTGTGAGGCATTATATAGATCATATAATCACACAGTTGGAAATACTGTATTATTTTTCCTAAAGAAATGGAAATGACCTGTTAACTCCCACTGACTATTTCTAACTGCCAATACACTCTGCTCCTGAATTATAATCAGCAGAACTTCTTTAAAGGTCAGTTTCAGCATAACATTTTGTAGCTCTAGAAAGCATCTAGATAAGATTTCCATAAGAACTTATGTAACAACACTAATTATTCTAATGGACCATCAATGCAACTTGCTTGTAGCCTTGACTGTACACTGGTTTAAATTTACAACACACTAAATCACAAGCTAACCAATCACATTTTAGCCTAATTACACATACACAATTTGGTTAATTTACAATTTAGTGTGTCATGAGAACTCAGAAGACTGGGTTAATGCAGTAATGCTGTGTACACATAATCTAATTCTTCCCAGTGATAATCAACTTCATAGGCTTCTTTACAGGATAAATCTGCTATCATATTATTACAGGTCCTTATATTTAAGGAGGACACTTCTGAAAATTTGCTTCATATCACATATGGCATTTTTGACATGAATCTTTAATGCAGAGTTTATACAAAATTTACAGTAGCACAAATTAATTGCTCCTTAATACACATTTCAGTCCCAATTTTTGGAACTTATACAGAAGCCAAACTACTTCTAGGTTAACTCTGCATCTTTTACCAGATGTATATTTGTTGTCTACACCTAACATGATTTATCTTACTATGGTTTTATTATTACTGTAATTTGTTAAAATATAAATAATCATAAATTAACAAAAGTGGCTGAAGTTACATAAGATCATAAACTATAAAAACCATAAACTAGCCAACCGCATTAGTGAATTGTGTTGTGTGAACCTAGTTTGTATCATACTGTCAAGTACCTCTATCAATCTATCAGAGCAAATCCAAACAGCAGTATCAAGCCATCCTAAATGTATTCCTTATGGAATAGCTTTTCATTAAAGCCTACAGAGTTGCCACATTCATAAAGTATTGTCCTTAGTCTTATCTGTTTCATTAATCAGTCAATATGTATGCTACTTTATGAATGGTTATGTATGACATTTTATGAAGAACCGTCTAAAGAAACTTTTAGTTAAACATTAAATACAATGGGGAAAAAAAAGAAACAGAAGTAATTAGAAGACAATTTTTAATTACTTTCAGCCATAAACACTAAAGAATGGTCATTATATTTTTGTGTCAAAACCTTTATGGAAATTTTGGTTTTGGGGAGACCACTGAAAACTTCAAAGGTTGGTAGGAAATACTTATGCTGGAAACTGAACCCAATATATTATAGCCTTCTTTGCATGCACTGAGCTTTAATTTCTGTTATGAGATTTGAATTTTAATACACTGAAAGAGCACTAGGTAGGAAAAGTCTGGTATAGAGCTTAAAACATCATATAAAGAAGTTAAATGATTTCTTTCAGGAGACTGCTGATTGAGACCAGAGAATTAAAGGGTGAAAACAAAAACCAGACAGGATTAGATGCCTGTACCTATGAAATTACCAAGGAGCACTGGACCATTTTTGCCCAAAGAAACAAAGAACAGCCTTGCATCTGTGATGTTGTAAAAGAAGAACCACAGGGAAGACAAAGATAGAATGTATACAATCTGTTTTTGTATGATTCATTGTCATATCTTAGCCATTTTAGTCAAACGTTGTAGAAACCCAGTGTGTGTATTTCATTTATGCTTCACTGTGTCATGTGAAGCCAGAAAATGATGCAGTAAACCCCAATGAAAATATGCCACCTGAATACAGCAAAAGCTCAAATGCAAGTAAGGTAAGCACCGAAGATTGTTCTAAACAGCAACTTATAACAGTTTACGCTGTAATATATCTCTTGGCCTTTAAAGCACCATGAGTCTCCTTCGACTTTTTTTCTTTTAAAGGAAAAAATTATCCCCAATGCAGGTGCATGGAAAAGACGGTTGTATCTACCTTTTATTCACAAAAGAAGAAACGATGACTGCAATCTCTCTTCGATAACACGCTACGTGCAAATACCAGTATGGTCGTGGCAAACACTCCGAATTAACATGCCATTTTGCACGGGGCGCCTCTAAAAGCTCTCGGTTACAGTAGAGACATTGTGCGATCATCTCTTCCCCCACCCCAGCCCATACACACACTTTTCCCCGCAACCAGAGTCCCTAGTTCTTATTTGCACTCGTGAGCTTCGCCTCTCATCGCCGTTTCAATCAGGAAGACGGCGCTCGTAATGCTCAGGATTATGATTGCGAGTTGTTCTTATTATGCCTAACGCGTCCCCAGAACTAGACGTTGTGCAGATACGCCGAGAAGCACAGTAACTTGTCCGGCAAGCGAGAGAAGCCCACCTACAACTTCTCCTCCGGATGCTCAGGACAGGATTCTCTGACAGACGGCGAAGGCGGCGGCGGCGGCGACTTACGAAAAGCAGCCGCCGCGGCCCCGGGCTCTCCAGGAACCCGGAACCACAACGCGGAGCACCGCCGCCTGCCGGGACGAGGCCGGCGCCCACATCCGGGAAATGTTTGCAAGCGAATACCATCTGGCCGCGCTTCCCGCCGCCTCTCGGCAGTTTCGAACGGTGCGCAGAGCAGAGGAGGAATGGGGTGGGGGAGTCGCGCGCATCCTAAGCGGCTTGGACTGTGCTTGAAGGACGCGGCGAGCCACAAACTACTCAACCACCTTTTAGGCTCGCTTATGAGTACGTAGTTTGGGGTTCGGCGTCTTATGAACTCAGGAAAGTGGGTTTGAGTAAACCATAGCTAAGCTAGCGATAAGTAGACGGGTGCAGTGCGACTAGAAGTTGGATGTAGAGAAGCGCTGATCCTATACACTGCTATCTCTAGCAGGAGTTGGCATAAAAACTAGGCTCCGGATTTTAGCACAACATCAGTACCAATAATCTTCAAATCCGTGACTAATAGCACATTCCATGCATAGGATGTGATCTCTTGATTTGCAATAATTTCAATGGATTCTAGAGAAAATCGTGCAGATCCGTACCTTGAATGCACATTTTGCATTTTGTGTCATGCAGACACTAAAAATAAATGGATTTGCTACTGTTAATGGCTTATTCTTGCAGGCAGATGTGATCTAAGTTGGGACAATAGTTTCAAATGGGTTCTGTTTTAAAATTGGAAGGATCTATGCATTAGATCTGCATTTTTGCACTGTGCTGCCAAAAATATGACTATCATGAAGTGCACAGATACAATTTGATTATAATTGTATGTTGGATCCCATCTAAAAATCATGATCCATGAGGTTCCATCTGGATCTAACTTTCATCCAGACCTGAAGGATCAGATTAAAAATAATTCTGAAGGCACCAGAAAATGTGGCAATTTTTCCATTCTTCATAGTGCTTAACTAAGTTTGGCCTCAAATGCAGCTGGTCAGAGTACAGTACAGAGTACAGTACAGAGTAAATAGTAGAGACTTTTAGCATTTGGCTTAGTTCAAAAGGATCATCTTGTTAATACCTAATTGTCAATTGGAATGTGATGGACTGGAGGTAAGCTGTTGCACTGACAAGCAGTGGCCTGAGGTATTTAACAGTTTCCTTACTTAGGAGCCGTATTAGAGCTGTTATGGATGTACTTTGAGCAGCATGGTAGATATCCACTGTGTCTTGCCGATCTTGAAGTATGAGCTTCACTGTTTCATTTGCTGGTGTTAATGACTGCAGAATTCCAGTTCCATATACTAGATGTTGCTATTATGTCTAGGAAAAAATGACTATATAAGGGGTATTGACATATAAAGTTCTACCAAATGCAGGGAGATGGTAAAATATTTCAGCACATTAGATTTTTTGGTTAAATTTGTTGTTTGAAATTTCCTTGCAATACTTATCAATTGCAATCCTCTCTCTCAGGGAAAAGTATGGTACTTTCAGAAAGATGTGCATAATTTATAGCAGACAGCTTAAATCTTCTACTCCCATCCTCTCACTAGGCCAAAGCCAGGACAAAACAGTATTAATTTTGAAATTAGAAACATTTTTTCTCTTCAAAATACCTTTTAATAAAAATAAAACTCTTTTTACATACCTGCATTCTAGAGACAGATGACTTATATATCCATTTTTCTTCTCCTCGTCTTTTATCTATTATATGCCATCTACAGAAATCAGAAAACCACTAGAGGAGAGCTGGCATTCATAA